ATAACACGGTAGTTACGTTCCAAAAAATTGCCGTGTGATGCGAATCCGTGTTATACGAAACAAAGAACTAGTACGAAAAGGAGGGTTAGGTTCCAAAAATTAAAAAACATGCTATTATATTTTCATAATTAAGATAACTTAAATATCTTTATTAAAATTTTCTTAAGTGATACATATTAATATAAATTAAACAATGTTTTCTTTGTCATCACTAAAATCACTATTAACCGAGAGCGTTTTCTTTTTGGCAAGTTATCCTTATCCTCTGAGCATTTTTCTGCATTATCTTCAGATCCATGCTCTACCTTTTGCAAAAAGTATGTAATTTTAGATTGCTTGCTTTTAGTTAAAAGATCTTTATAAATTTCCTTATATGGTGCTAAGCACTTATGAAGAATAAAGCAAGTATGGAATAAAGGAAAAACATCTGGCAACATCAGAAGTGTCGAGATCTGCAACATTGAAACAAGTTTCGAGAAGTACCATTGTATCGACAGAAGGCGAAAAAAGAAAATTTACATACTTATGTACTAATAGTTCACGAAAATGATTATTTTCGTAAACTATTAGTACTGAAGTATGTAAAAATTTATTACATTTTATGTTGTACGAGGGTTTTACCCAATTCTCGAACCGTGTCAGTGTGAATTCGTGCTATAACAGTACCGTGTTATACGGGGATGGTTTCAATTCTCGAACCGTGTTAGGGTGAATCCGTGCTATGGAAGTGCTGTGTTATACGGGGTTTCCTGTATATTGTTCATGGAGGTCATATTTTTCTATTATAAAAGTATTTTTTCGATAAAATACATTGGAGTAAATAATTTCGTAATTATTTAACATTCTTTGTACTTTCCTATTTGTTTTTAGATACCTTAAAGCATTTTTTGAAAACATATAGTAAGGTTCCATATTACCACCCAATTTTCTCTAAGCCTACTTTCTGACTTTTTGTACAAAAGCCTTCAAAAACCATACTTACACTAGCGAAAAATCGAATTAGGAACATTTAGTTTAATAGTTACCAGTACTTTTCGCACAAAAAATGTGGGTGTAGTTATGATACCTTTTTTATAATTCACTAAAATGAAAATGGGGTTCCATAATACCACCTTCTCCTCTATATTAATATGAACTAACCTTTTGTTCGTTATGTTATAGACAACAATCTTTCACACTGAAGCCGTGAGCATAAAGAGGGATTAAAAATTACCAATCCGAAATGCATTGTTAAATAGGCGAAAGAAAGAGAACCGTTTTAATCTTGGTCTCTGTTAATTGCGGATAATTAAGAAACACATGATAAATACCACTAGTCTCACTGTTGAAAGAAGAAACCTTTACTTATAACTTTTTATATTTTTAATTATTATCTAATGGCAAATGGCTTAATTTTGAGGGTAGTGATGAGTTTAAAAAAAAAACTGTAAATGTTAATAACGAATAGCGTCATCATTAAGTCCGACTTCTCTCGAGATATGACACACGTCATCTTTCTATATCTCCACCCCTTTAACATATAACTACCAAAATTTAATAACATCAATGCTCCTTATACACAAGCTATCATGCGAAATTTCGTTTCTTATGGATGCCAGTGCACATAGATGCACGCACGGGCAGATATACATATGGACTAATAGAGCTTAAGCCCTGGGCCTCCAAGTGCCCACAAAAATTGAATTACAGTATTATCATAAATTTTTAATACTTTTTTACAGTGCCGTAACTAGGCAGGTGCAACAATCGCATCCGCACAGGTCCACTTGGAAGGACCCAAAATGGAAATTCTTGCACAGGGCATAAGAATGGCTAGTTACGGCACTGCTTTTTCATTAACAATGAGCATTTATCGTATTGTAAAAAATAGTTAATGTTAATAATATAATAATAATGATAATGTATAGTATTATTTGTATTAACAAAAACGGGGCCGTATTGGCTTTCAATAAGCCCTAGGCCCCGAAAAACCTAGAACCGCCCCTGCATACACGGAATATTTTTTTCTTTTTTGGGGGGTTCGCGAGATCTCAAAACATGGAGATTTGCAAAAACTCAGGGTCATATTTCACACGATTCCATTGCTTTTTGTTATGTATATGCAATAGACCCTCCTATAAAACGGGTTCATATAGTTCGGATTCTTATATGACGGCAAAAAATTGCGACCGTATTCGTATAAACACGGTAAAAGAGACTCGTATAATTCAGTAAAACGTCATCGCCGACTCGTGTCGCGACAGGATTAGCCGAATCTAGACCAATAGTGGATATTGCATAAACCGTTGACTTTAAATGAGCAGCGGACCTACTAAAGACCATTTATTATTTAACGGTCATAAAAATTACATTTATATTAATGATGGCTGCAAAGTACAGCAAAGTTTTCGCAGAAAAATAATTTATCAGGAAGCACGTGAGTGCCATTCGATGCACCGCTCTACGACGAAAACAAGCTTAAGCAATGACTTCGTCGAACGGTGCACACTCGGTAAGTAATCTTACAATTTTTTATAGCATAGGTTATATGGATTATTACCAAAAAATTATACGTGTTTTGGAAATTTTGAGTCAAATTAGTCTAGAATCGGTTAATTTTTTATGGAAGAAAAACTTTCAAACACCCGTAATCCGTAAACTGCATACGTGCCGGGCTGTGATTGGCTCATGCATTTAAGGACTCGTAGAAAATGGATTTCATAAAAACCGGAATGTATCTACCGTATTATAGGGGGTCGACTGTATAACAATCGGAAAAGTAAAATTAAGAATGTTTAGAAATGCATTTAACTTATTGTTACATAATATTTTATCTTGTTTAGAAACGTTTAAATAAAGCGTTAAAGAAATAAATGTCTTGTTATTTACTTTCAAAGTTAAAAAAAAAAAAACTAAGTAGGTTCATTTTGACTCGCAGCATCTCAGTTAAGGGTTAAAATTCTTCCTTTCCTTTGCACACTTTACACAACGAGTTAGAATATTCTAGCTTATTTCCCTTACACAACACAAATGGCACTTCCCCTTGACTAAAAGGAAAATGGCGGACATTTATTCACTTTTCTTTGAACGTGCATCGCTGCAGTCACTATATATTCTAGCTCGTTGCTTTTCTGACATAAAGAATACAATGTTTGAATTTGCCAATCTTCTGTCGAGAAAACACTCTAAACCGACCTGAAATTTTTCCTAAAATTAGCAGAGTTTCTCTGAAAACTGACAAATTTCCCCTAAATAGCATTGCTCCGGATGTAATGCACATCGAAAAACATTAGTCTTTTGACAAGCCAGAGAAACAAAGTTTTCACTTTAGTGTAAAAACGGGTTAGGCGCAGTTGAGCAAATGCGTCGTATAATAAAAGTAACCTGTTCCACTTTTTTAAAATAATTCTTTCCTCTCTATAAGCCTCTTTTAGCAAGCCCATTATGGACTCGGCCGGTCTGGCCGAGTCCATAATGGGCTTGCTACAATGGAGCGGGATGGGGTCCGACATTTTCGGACAGACCACTCCAAAAAATTCCTGGGAATTTTTCTACCCGTCCGGATCACCCAGAGCAGTAGGCTGCCACCTTGATCGCTCGACGAACCTGCTCTACTAACAATATGGGCAATTTTACTGCCTTGCCTTAGCCATCTCATATACAGGGTGTTTCGAAACTCATGGGCAAAAATTTAAGGGGTGATAGATAACAAGCAATTTTCACCATACAATGCATGGGCGGAGAGCAAGCGGTGAACCGCTAGATGGCGCTGTAATGGAAAGCATAAAGCGCGAGTTTTCTTACACATCGTCATTTCTACCGTGAATTTCACAAGGCATGACCGGCAAGCTCGCCCGATCTAACCTGTCTGGACTTTTTCCTTTGGGGCCATTTGAAAAGTCTCGTGTACGAAAGCCCCATCGACTCCGACGAGGACCTAGTTGCCATGATTTCTGTTGCTGCCGGTGCCGTCCGAGACATGCCGGATGTGTTTGAAAAAGTGCGCCGCTCGCTACGTCGCAGGTGTAACGCCTGCATTACCGCAGGCAGTCGCTCTTTTGAGCACAGTCTGTAATTTTGCCACACATGCTGTCAATAAAATTATTTATTACCTCTTCTATCCGTTTGGTATTTCGTTCTTTCATGTGACAGTAACGGATACCTCCTAGCGGTTCACCGCTTGCTCTCCGCCCATGCATTGTATGATAAAAATTGCTTGTTTAGATGTTTTCTATCACTCCTTAAATTTTTGTCCATGAGTTTCGAAACACCCTGTATATATTTATCTATTTAAAAATTAAATTTAAAAATGCCACACTTTTATTCAGAATTAAAAATTCTACAGAAATTTTCGTTTATCAGCATTAAAAAATTTTATGTTCGCTTAGCTGGCATCACTGTTTGATATTGTTTTGCTGTCAATAATGGTGGCAAACGGATGTTAGGTACTAAATATGATTCAGTAATTATAACAGTTGGAATGATATGTTAATCATTTCTCGCAATTTTCGTGTTATACGTAGAATCACCTTTTATTAAATAACAAAATCACAATTGGCATATAACGGCGGAAGTGTCAAAACCTCTGTCACAGAAACGTGGAAAGAAAATTATCATTTAAAGGGTAAGTTTTTATGATAACATTATACCTGTTTTTAAATGCACTTCTCACTTATAATTTCTATCGAGTTATTTTATGACTTCGATATTAAATCATATGTCTTTTTTTGGATTTATTTTATAATTAATCTATTGTAAAATTATTGTCTATTTATTTCTCAGTATTAGCATTAAGATATGTCTACGAATAATACTTTACTGTTAAGGTTGTGCTTACTTGTTTTACTTGTTTTCTTAGCAAAGTTATTTAAAAATTTTAGATGATAATTTTTCATTGAACATATTTTTAAATGAACTGACTGTATGTTAGATGTTGTGATGATAATTAGAAATTTTTATGCGAAATAAATAAATAAAAGCACCACATCATTTTTAATTAAATAAACAATCATTCAACTTTACCAGGATAATCTCAATACCTGTACATTGTCCCACTTCCTGGATGAAGTCTTTGCAGTTGACAAGAGCTATCGTTTTCGTGTACAAGATTTTAATTAAAATCTTGTACACGAAAACAAATTTTGGAGAAAAATACATTATACAGAGATACATAATTTACACTATTTTTGAACCTGATCTTGTTATAAAGATTTTTGAATAAATGCTTAGTTTGAACGGTTGTCTTAGTTACGAAGTGATATTTTATTCTTTCAACACAATGCACAACTTAGCAATATGAATTATTATGTTACACTGATAAAATAACAGGACATAATATTTATTTCAGTGGAATGTAGTTTTAAATGACCATAGTTTATATAAATGTCTATACTGCAGCATCCAATGTAAATAAGTCCTATATATATACATACATATGCCCAGAAAAATTATTTTTGTAAGTATTGTGGCAAATGTAAGAAAAATAAGTAAATCTTGTTAGTTTATAAATGTGGAAGCTGGTCACTCTGGTTTTTAATTACCGGTTTTATTCAAATAATAGCCGCAACTACTTTTTTAACTGCATTTTTTTTCTGTAGGTACTATATGAGGGAAGTTATTATTTTCTTTGCACTTACTTATTTGATGTCTATTATTAATAAAGTATTTTATATTTATATTTAAAAATATGGTATTTAGAATAAATTATACTTGAAATGGCAACTGGTATTTTTTTCTATAATGAGTGTTACTTTTTATAGGCCTACACCAGTAAAAAGCAGTTATAAGAAAATAATTAAAAAATACAGCTACTGTATATAGTACCTAACAACATTATTGTTTACAGTATTTATTAATTTGACATTTTTCCAGTTTTCAGAAATTTTTTTCAAGTAATAGCCATGCCTACTACTAACATTCAAGAACAGTTATAAATCAAATAAAACCAGTAGTTTTTATTTTAACTTTTATCTCTATGTAGATATATGTACTGTTTTTCATATATCTATTTTTTTATAAATAGTGCAGATACAATATATCTTAAATTAAGCTATTTTTAGTAGCATATTTTGAGTCTAATTTTTATCGTTTTGTTAAAAGAACAATGGTTATATAAATTACAAGTTGAGTTTTCTTTCTTGAAAAGTTGAGAATTTTTGTATAATATTTTTATATTCTAATTGAAGTAATATTGTGATTAATTTATTTGTTGTTATTAATTATTGTTTAATTACTAATATAGCTTGCTTTACTGATTTCATATTTCAATATTTTTTAATTGGGTTGAAATCAGCATTGTTTCCTGGCAATCCTGAAATATTGTTTTGATTATTTCATTATTTTCTTTATTGTGACATGATATTTAATTCTGCATTAAAATTCCATTATTTAAGAATCATTTTTTTTATTTGAGAAATTAATAATTTATTATTCAGTTTAATGTGGTTTCTCAAACAGAAATTATAGGCAAAATTATAATTGTGAATTTTACATAGCGATTTTTATTCCCAACATATTTAGGCCTAATTCTTATATTAATCATTTCAATTGTAAATTCATCAAAGAATAAGCACATCAAAGAACAGCAAAATTTTATTATTTTCATATTAAACATATTGTTTTTTTTTTAAACACATTGTACTGTAATGAAATTATATTGAAGATTTAAAAATAATATAAACATATGAATTATCTATATATATATAAAAATGGACATGTATGTCCCTATATTTCACTTTTTCGCCAAAACTACACATCGTACATGAATGGTGTTTGTATGTGGTAGTAGCCCCAAGTCTCCATTTGTGCACTATGCTGGTTGCGTCTCGATAGCTATAAGGGTGCGGGAGATATGGGCTTGAAAGTGGTTGAAAGTGGAAGATTTTCTATTTCGATTTAAAAAATTTTCAAATTCGAATTGGTTCAATTATAGAATGATTGTAAACGTTCCAGAAAATTGATCAAATTGAAAATAGTTTGTTTGACTGGACGTAAAAATTCTCTAATTAGTCTGGAAACAGGGGACCTAATTCTTGCATTGTGTGAAAACGGGTAAGATTGGCTATAATGTAATTATCTTAATCTTCACTATCGTTACTTTTTGCCCACAAATAAAAACCCAGCGAAGCGGGTCCTTGCAGCTAGTATTAATATAAAAGTTGATCAATAAATATTTATGATCATCAAGAAACCGTTTTAGTGGATAGCTGTGATTATTTTTCGATCAATGACTCCATGAGTATTATGTTATTTCTAATAAATATTTAATGTTGTTATCATCATTAGAAATGCTATCTTGCAATGACTACATTATAACAAAGAAAAACAATTATTGTATATAAATCAACTAAATTAAAAAAAATATACATTGGTAATATATATAAAATAATTTAGATTATTTTTGTAAAATATAATTAATTCATTTTCATAATTATTTTTAGTGATTAAAAAGCTGGAAAATATAATTTAAAAATTTCTATGTAGTAATATTTATACAGGGTGTCACTTAAGTCTATGTAAAAAGTTTATAATTCATAAACTTATCATCTACAATGGTAAGAAATATGTTAGTAGAATGGAGAGGAACAAAAAGCTTTTTTATTCTTTATCCATGGGAATTGGTTACAGAAGAAAGGTATATGAGTTGTTTCTCTTCCAGAAATAGTTATCAAATGTCTTATATGGATATGCTGAAGCAGTAGCCCCTTCTTCAACAGGAAGACAATGAAACTTTCATCTTTCAACAAGATGAAGCATCAGCCCATTACCACACTGCAGTTTGCACATAACTCAACAAGCAGCTACTACAAATTGGATTGAGCACTTAGATGTGACAATGTGTTATTTCAGTGGTCTGGACAGTTACCAGATCTAATGCAGTGTGAGTTTTCTGTGAGGATACAGTAAGGATTGCATGTATGTGCTACCTATGGCTCGAAACATTTCAGAACTTCATCATCATGTCACAACCACAATTAACAACAACACTCCAATTTGCTGGAACACATGTGAACAGAATTAAGCTTTGACAAATGGTGGTCACACTGAACAGTATGACATGTGGGAAAAAGTTTTCATTCCTTTTCTTTCTTCTGACATATTTTCTGCCATTGCAGATAACACTTTATGAATTATGAATTTTCTAAATGTTGTATGATCTTATGGAACACACTGTATATTATATTACAAAATTTTTTAAATTTAGATAAACTTTATCATAATAAAAACCACAAATGCACAAATAATAATATATTCAGTCAAAATTATTTTTGACTAAATATATTATTTTAACTTGTTATGATGAGAGATGTATATTTAACTTTGTATTTTGATTTTCCATTAACTTCAGATAAATCTAATGGAAAATTAAACAGATATTTTTTTAAATTTTAGAAATCATGTTAATGAAAAATCATTAATTTGTTTTATTAAAACCATAAATTAAAATATATTAATTAGTCTCTCAAGTTTTTGAATATATATATTATTTGTTGTTTTATCATCAAAGTACTTTTGTTTTATTTTAATCAAACTCTAAGTAATTTGTAAAGGATTTTCTTGTAGTAAAATTATTGTTTTTAATAATATTTCAGGTGAGTAAAAAATGGGAACACAACAATTTTTTCTTAAATGGAACAATCATTGTTCAAATATGGTGACGATTTTTGATCAGTTATTGATGAATGAAGCTTTGGTAGATGTTACGTTAGCATGTGAAGGACTTAGCCTGAAGGCTCATAAAATTATTCTTTCTGCTAGCAGCCCATTTTTTCAAACTTTATTTTTAGAAAATCCTTGCAAACATCCAATTGTTATTATGAAAGATATGAAATATGCAGAATTAAAAGCTGTAATAGATTTTATTTATAAAGGAGAAGTTAATATTTCTCACCATCAATTACCTGGACTTCTTAAAATAGCTAAAGAGCTTAACATTAAAGGTCTGATGGATATGTCAGATGACACTGAAAGACTTCCACAAAAATCAGATGCAGAAAATGCAGCAGACAAAAGTGAATCCATTTTGCCTATTTCTGTTGAGTCTAACTATGAAGAATTTCTACCTCGGATAAGAAAAAAGAGAAAAGGCAGACGGAAAAAAAATTGTAATTCAAGTTGTAGTGATAGTGAAATAGGGCAATATGAAATCCAAAATTTTCCTGAAATAATGGAAGAAATATTACCTGAATCATCAAGCAATCCGGAACATCTCAAAGCATCAGACTATCACGACTTCTCATATCAGTCTACCTCTCAAGATATGTATCCACCTTCCTATTGTCAACAAAATGAGATTTGTGTTTATAAAGATGAAATTTCTCAGGATTTTAAAGAAAGTGTAGATGAGCATTCAAATCACTCAGAATCTTCTATTATTACAGATAAGGTAAATATTTTATTATTAATTATTTCCAAATAATCATTTTTTTTTTTAATTTTACTTTTTATATTTTTAAACAGTACTTTATAAAAATGGTTTAAATTAATTACCAAAAGTTTGAAAAATCATTCATTTATAATTTTGTTAATTAAATGATTTCATAACTTTTAGCAATTAAATAACTCCAAACTTAAATTTTTAAAAGACCTCTCTCATCTCTTCACTTTGATAATCTATACTACTATATAAGGAGACAACGTATTTTTCGTTTGTGACCACTAACCGTGAAAACTACTGAACCAATCGTTACCAAACTTTAACTGTAGCATCTTTATGATCTCTGGAATGTTTATCATTAATCAAACCTACAGATTTTTTATTAATTAAATAAAACTGCAACAGATTTTTGTGTCTATTTCTCTCTGTCTCTTCACTAGATGGCGACACACGCTGTCTATAAGAAAACTCTATTATTTACTATTATATTTGAAGAACTGACATTAAATTATAATTAGTTAATTAGCAAAATCTTTGAGGAATTAAAAAAGTGACATCATAATGCTAGATGGCCATATGTGTACAGTACTTATGGCGGGTTTTCGAATCGTTTCTGCTGGTAATTGTACAAAATATTCGAAATAGTTATTGGTGAATATTTTTGAGATTGATTGATAAATAATGCGGAGAGCTGCAAGAACACGAATAGGAAGAAACAGTTCATAATTGTAATGACGTAAATCTACACTTCTACAGCAAAGACTGGAAGGGCAACGAATTCATTCGGCTCAGAATCGAATGCGTGTAGCGAGGAATTTTTTAGGTTTCACATCAATATAACTTAATCAGAAGTTTTATGATTTTATTTTTTTATATTTTGCAAAACTCTACTGCAATACTACACATTGATCACTCAAAAATAATTAATGAACAATTAGTTCAAATTTTCTAAGTTCTATATGTATATAAGNCTAGCAACAAAAATGGAATTAGACATCATTAGAGTAGCGGTATCTCTTGCAGGATTTACATATGGCAAATATGAGCATGTGCTCCATAAAGTAAAAGAGGCCCTATACCCATGTACCATGCTGTACAGAAAGGAAAAAGCATCCGTGATCCAGTCATCATTGCCGTATCTTGGACCAATCTCTATACGCATCAGCCGCATATTCCGACGATATAATTTCATGCTACCTATAACCCCCCTACCAAACTTACGCAGATGTATCTGCAACGACCGGGACACGCTAACCACTTTAGAAAAGTCAGGGGTTTACAGGATACACCTAGAAAATCTGGCAACGGGAAATATTACAAGATACATAGGAGCAACAACAAGAATTCTCGCCTCCCGCCTTGCTGAGCATCAGGATGACATAGCCAAAGGAAGATGTTCTACAGAGCTCGCTAAAAAAGTTCTCGAGCAAGGCTACAACCCATTATGGCCCAGAACGGAAATAATTAAATGCTGCAACAATCGAAGGCTTGTGTTTATCTGGGAAGCGCTTCTCACAGCTACTTCAGAAGCGTGCAATGTTCCCACCCTCGATCTACCCGGGGTGTGGATTGCCTTATATCGGCGCCTAAAAAACGAAACGTGCCTAACATCGTATCGCCAACGCGGTAGCAATTCCACGCATGCGCCGCTAGCACCGTAAAACATAAAAATTCGAACATATCAAAAATTATTTGCACGTTCTTAAACAGAATTTCCGGACGCCTGTTTGAATTTAAATATTCTGTTCCTTTGGAACATCCTGCATGTTTGTCTTGTTAAAATTTGTTCTTTCACCTGAAGACGACGATTATACATTCGTCGAAAGTGCTTGTGTTAATACTAAAGAAACTTTATTAACGCTGAACTCAGTGAATTTGTATCCATAAGTTATACAAACATTGGCATGTGTTTTTAAATTTATTTTTACATTTCTTATTTAGTTTCTTATCTATAGAATTTTATTTCATTCTGAATAAGATCTATTTTACATTTATAGTACAGTCGACCCCCTATAACATAGTAGATACATTCCGTTCTTTATGAAATTGATGTTCTAAGAGTCCTTGAATACATTAGCCAATCACAGCCCAGCAAGTATGCAGTTTATGGACTATGGATGTTTGAAAGGTTTTCTTCCATAAAATTAATCGATTCTAGACTAATTTGACTCAACATTTCTAAAATACATATAATTTTTGGGAATAATCCATATAAACTATGCTATAAACAAAAATTTGTAGGATTACTTACAGAGTGTGCACCGTTCGACGACGCCATTGCTTAAGCTTGTTTTTGTTGTGGAGTGGTGCATCGAATGGCGCTCACGTGCTTCCTGATAAATTATTTTTCTGCGAAAACTTTGCTGAACTTTGGAGACATCATTAATATAAATGTAATTTTTATGGCTGTTAAATAATAAATGGTTTTTAGTAGGTCTGCTGCTCATTTAAAGTCAACAGTTTATGCAAGATCCACTATTAGTCTAGATTCAACCAATCCTGTCGCGACATGAGTCAGCGATGACGTTTTACTGAATTATACGAGTTTTTTGTAGCGTGTTTGCATGAATATTGTCACTGTTTTTTTGCCGTCATATAGCAATCCAAACTATATGAACCCGTGTTATATGGGGGTCGACTTTATTTCTCCAAATATACAACAAAGATTTTTTTTAAATCTTATTTTTTAAAAGTCAAGGGTCATCTTATATTTAAAATATCTAGCAATGAGTTGCATAACTTTTCTGAATGTTATGAGATTTTACTTTAAAAAATCATTTATGTTATTAATTAGAATAGATAAAATTGTATATGGCACCATCTGTTCCAAGATTTTGTTATAAAAAGCTTTTTTTATATTATTAATTATAAAATGGCAAAAAGCTAAATATAGTTTGGATGTGCTCAGCAGAGAATAAATTTCAAATTTACAATTACACCTATGCAGATATTTCAAATTTATAATTACACCTATGCAAATATAAACAACTAATGAAACAATTACACCTATGCAGATATAAACAACTACGAAACCCGATGGTTAGCAAATAGACACCCACGAATTGTGTAAATAATCGGGCTGTAATGTGAATAATCAAGCTGATTCTATTCTTCCAGTTTATTCTAAATTAATTAATTAAATATAATTATTAAAATTTAATAAATTAGGGATATTATTGAACATGTTCTAGTATCATTTGGCTTACTGGTTAAGGGAGTGTTGCAAATATGAAATAATTGCATTTTGTGAAGATGTAGCAAATAAACTTGCAATTCACTCTAATATAAAATGATAGCTTATGCTCTAAACTAAAACAAACACTAAACTTTATTATCATATCAATTACATGTAAAATATATGAAAGAACCACTTTACTTCACTACTATCTTTCAAAATGCAGAAGCAAAACTGAAACTTGCATCATTGCAAATGCAATAAAAAAAATATATGAATATGAAAAGATTTGTTCACATTTCAAACAATTTGTAAATGTGGACTAAATCATTCCATTTGCAGGCACTAGAGTGTACAAGCTTGTTAATCTGGCACCAAATAATCCAGAATGTCCAATAATCCAGCATCCTCAGATAAGCAATAAATAATCTTGAATTATTCAATAATAATTTGATATGCTAGTATTCCACAAATCAAAATTTGCATCACAGTACATCTAAAAACAGGGTAAAGCCAAACAACCACCATATTACATTGGGCTACTTTTCTGTGATTATGTAATCCTGTAGTTGTTTGGCTTTACAAATTTATCGGATTTCATGATGTTGGTTTCAAAACAGGATTTTCATACTTGGAGCTTGTGTAGCTTATATGAATCCTATAAACAGTACTTTTTTTCAATATATATACATGAATCATTGTGAATGTTGATTTTATGCAATAATGTGTTTATTAACATTTTTGCAAATTTTTCAATTTGTCTTAGCACAGTATCATCTTCAGACTAATTAAAGATTTTGTATCATTCATTATTGTTGTGTATGAGAAACTTTCAAACAGCTGTATCTCCAAAACTGTTGAGAATAATACCCATATTCTTATAAAGGGTATTTTGCTTATAATTCATACTATTGTTATTTTTTTTAAATTTGGGGATTACCTCCCAAATTTAATAAACTAAAATAAAATAATATATTATGCCTTAAGAAAGAATATCCTTTGTTGTTATTTGTAAGAATAATCTTGCAAAAATATTGACAAAAATCTAAAATTACATCCCAAATCAGTTTTTTCCAAAATTTACACTTTGAAAAAAAGTTTTATATTTGAATTGTCATATATTTGGATAAATACAGTGTTGTAAATAAGAAATTTTTATATTTATTTTTGTTATTTTCATTCTTTTAGATAGATATAATAAAACTGAACTTTTGTTTTTACAGTTAGAAAAAGAAAAATAGAAGTACTATCTTTAGAAACAAGAGTTCAAGTTATAAAAGAAAGTGCTTCAGGAGTAACTTTACGAAAATTAGCTGAAAAATTTAATTGTGGAAAAACCCAGATTTCCAACATTTTACAAAGAAAAGATTATTGGCTTAAAGAATGGGAAATGAATAAAAATATGAATTACAAAAGAAAAAGGAAACAGCCAAATGAAGAAGTCAATAAATATGTTTGGGAATGGTTTCAGAAGGCAAGTGCTACACATATACCAATTAGTGGGCCATTAATTCAAGAAAAAGCTAGAGAATTTGCTGAAATTTTAAACATTTCATCTTTTAGAGCTAGCAATGGATGGTTGGACAGTTTTCGAAAACGACATAACATAGTATTTAGATCAGTGGATGGAGAAAAACGGCAACTAACTGCAAGTTGAACTAAGAATTATATGGATTTTACAAAACTGACTTTCTATAATCTCTTCACATTTTTTTTAATTGTGTATTTTAATACAATATATATTTTTATTTTCATGTATTTTTAAATGTAAGAGATCATCCAAATGTTTAATCATTTCAAATAGCTTGAATACTGAAAATTTAAAACATTGTTTAATTCTGTATTAGGATAAATAGATGGATTCAAATTTAACTATTTAATTTCAAATTATCATAATGTTGTTGTTGCATTTATAAATTTAAAAAGTTTTTGTTTGAATGGATTACTTTGACTTGGATATCTAACATCCTATATATCATGCAAAACTCTTCCTTAATGATTTATTGTTATAGTGCACAAGAATATATCTATTGAAAGTTCCACCTTTTGTATTAGAAATCTTCAAAAAGAATTAATTATTCAAATTATATGACTAAACTTTTGAATTTGAAAAGTTTCAAGAAAGTTTTGTTTCGTGAACAGTTTTAAGACTGCATTATTGTTGCTTTATCTAAGACAGATATTGCACATATTTGGTATGTATAATTGTACATACTGTATGTAACTGAAAAATCTGTTTGTGAAAAATTTTATTATAAATAAAACAAATTCTATTTATAATCACAATAAAGCTTTCATAACAATTACTTAATTGTATAGTAGGCTTATTTTGTAAAAAATATGTTAATTTAATTGTAATTAGTATGCTTGAAAAGTGCTATGCATTATTATAATAATGTATGTAGTTAAATCAAATTGAATTTTGTATTTAAATTTACAAATTATAAGTTTTGTTTTGCAAGTGAAATGAAATTTTAAATTATAATTTATATTTTTTAATCATTATAAATGTGTAAATGATTCTTGGTTTTCAGCAGACATTATATTGATATATAATGTATTTGTATTACTATTTTTCTCAAACTAAATGATTAAATATACTAATGCATTATGCAAATATTAAAAGCATTTGTTCTAAAAATATTAATTTTTATCTTAATTTAAAAATATAATAAAAATATAATTTTCATCTGTTTCTATCTTTTTTAGTAAAAATGAAATATTAAATCTACTAAAATAAAAATGATAAACAGCAGAGTAACTAGGCTCCTGAGAACTCCACAATGAAAGGTTCTCTGTGCTGCTTGAATATTTTTAAAAATTACATAAACAGCAAGTCCTCACTTAACGTTCTTAGAAACTACGATGTTACACAAAACGATGTACAACGAAAATTTAACCATAGGCTTATTGATATAAACAAAATGCATTTGCAATTATGACCTAATTATACTTTCGTCTTTCCTCGACATTAAGTGGTGTCTTCTGATATATGTATTTGTAAGTCTAATACAGTACTGTAATTTTATAATTTTTACGTTATCTAAAATTTTCGCTATGGAGATTTTAGGCGGTAAGTTGAGTTTACTATCGTCTGTACAGTATATAAATTAGGTACTGTAAGTCTAATACAGCACTGTAATTTTATACATTTCTTATTCAACGGCCATAAAAATTATTTCTATTAATGA